CTTATGGATGAATAATTTCTGCATCTATTCGATAATTAAAGTTTACAGACAGTTACAGAATGAATTTAATCCGTAACAAATAATAATATTAATAATTGAGTTTGTTAAATATGCCAATTGCAAGTGCACTTTACAAGACCAAGACCAAGGCCACCGAACTGTTGCAAGACCAAGACCAGGACTGGTAAAAAAAATAGATTTTTTAAATAAAAATTAAGGAAAAAAAAGTTACTAATACTTGACAATCTTAGTTACTATATGTTAATAATTGGTATAACCAATATACTTTTGATTTTAACTCCTCTGATTTTTGATTCGGGCTTAGTTAGGTTTCCCCTATCTAAAAAATTACAGTAATATCTCTATAGTAATAAGCTAATAAGTAACTGAAAGACTATTGAGAGACTCTTGCGCATGACCAAGACCATGACCATGACTGAGTTTGCAAGACCAAGATATGTCTCGGTCTCGCATTTGGGCAACACTACTAAAGGATAAGAATATCAATTCTCAAATGTTAATAGCTTCAGCTCTTTCTCACAGACCTCATCTTAAATATATCAATTATTGATAACTTCCTTTGAAGCCCTCTTCCAATTTCCCTTATCCATCCTGCTATCCCTGGGTACCCTTATGCTTCTCTGGATTAAGCACTCTTACAGTTACATTCTTGAAGTCATACACTTCCAAGGAGACCTATATCTTGTTGTCATACTCTTGTATGAGACCCGTATATTTATAGTATAATTCTGTTTGTTAAGATGCCGTTTGTAACAGACATTATAAATAAAAGTGTTACTTATAAGTTATTAAGTCCTCATTGCCTTCTATACGTTAACTAAACGACAAAAGTTCGAACCGTCATGGAGGATATAAAAGTATAAAATAACAGGCGACATGTTCAAAGCAGATAATAAGAAGTTGAGAGTTGAGAGAACCATGTCCCAAGTTAATTGAAAGGTATCGGATTTTATCCCTCAGAAAAAGGAGAAAATTCTTATGAAATACACAATCCGAGAGGTAGATTGTTTATTGATATTGTCTTAGCGTATCGTATTGCAATTAGGTAATTAAGCCACGTGCCTCGAGTGGAAGGCAATTATAACAAACAACACGAGCTGACACTTGTGTCAATAGTGGCTCCAGGAGACACAAAGAAACTTTTCCTCAGGTATTGTTCACCTTCATGATTTATTAAAGCAGAAAAAATATATTTGTGTAAAATTTAAGGTATTCATTTATTTTACAATTATATATATATATATATATATATATATATATATATATATATATATATATATATATATATATATATTGCTGGTTTTAAACAAGTGTACAATATATTTATAAGTTATAAAACGACTTTCATTAATTCCTTTTAAGAATATTTTAGATATCCTTCCCAATATCACTCTTCCAAAGTGTCAGTAAATATGCTATTAATATTAAGTGAATACTCACTTGTATCACTGATCCCAGATGTGTTAAATGTACACGAAAATCTGTTTAATTATCATGAATCTGTTCAGTGTACATTGCATATACACTAAAATTTAAATATATTATAGAATAATAGTTTAATAGGTGTTTTTAATGTAATTTTAATTACATAGATCACATCTAATTTAATTATTTTTATCAGACCAAACTGTTCATTTAGCCACCAAGATTGTTGTGACTTGTTAAGAATATAAAATTTAGAGAGGAAAAAATTTAAGTTTACAATAGTGAAAAAAATAAAACATGTAATAAAATAATGCATATTCTTTATGCTTCAAAACATTACTTTCAAAAATTTTAGGGTTGCTTAAAAAAGAATAAAATTAAATTTATTAACCTCTAATAATAAATTTAACTACAATCTTTTCAATCTAAAATTTTAAGATTAATAACTGCAGCAGCCTGGTATGTCAACAACACGACTTTACATACCGACCTAAAACAACCAACCATTGACAAGCACATAGCACTCTCTACTCCCGATTTCATCTTAAACTGGTGCCGCTGAGTTCCATTCTTCGTCACGCCTATCACGGCATTTTCTACTTAACAACAAATCTGTTAATTGTCACTACCATGACGTGTGGATGAATAATAATAATAATAATAAAAAAACCTCAAAAAATATCACATTACATTGAATTCGTTTCATCTGAACAATGTCACCATTAAAAAGACTTACTTTATCATTATTTAAGACTCACCGTCTATATATGGATGTTTTAGGCCACATTATTCCAATTAAAATAAGGGCAACACACAGATTCAAAGTTCCTTTATTGATTAAGAAAATCTCAAGTACTTTTCAAAATTCAGAGTAGAGTGGTGACATTGTTCATATGAAACGAATTCAGTGTAATGTGATATTTTTTGAGGTTTTTTTTTTTCTTTTTTTGTCTTCAATTATTCATCCACACGTCATGGTAGTGACAATTAGCAGATTTTATTAAATTAGCAACTGTCAACAGATTTTTTAGGTTTCGGAGCCCTCTGAGTCCAAAAAACGCGTGTTTAGTCATTGGTCTACTTTTCAGTGATTATATTATCTCTTGAACGGGGACATCAATGTGTTTGGTAAATGCTATTTATTGTTGTCATGTATTTTTAGGGTTTTGGCCATCGATACTTTCGTACAAAATTAGGCACCCTGTACCCAATAGGTGAAATTTTTTTTCTCCCTAATAAACTAAATAATCTAAACACATCTAACGATTTTGATGAAACTTTCTTCTAATCTTCGACTAAAAAAGTCTTTTTTAATTTCATGAATAAGAATAAGCAAGGAAAAGTTACGAAGAAAAGAAGACTTTATTCGAGCATAGCTAAAAAACGTGTACATTTATAGTTAATTATCATTTGTCTCTGCACCCCTATGCGCCTTTGCATTGGAGCTTTCTATGCCATAGATCAGGGCTGAAATATGAAGACGAGAAGCTTACTCTTGACAGTTCTGGATCAATGGTAAGTTGTCCATCCAGATGACAGCTACTTGTCTCTGTGTTTCATCCCTGATTTAGTCCTAAACTATGGGTCGAAACGTCAACATTAGATAACCAATTAGCTGTTACTTAATGTTTTTTCTGACTGACTACCAGCCCATCTCCTTCTCACTTTACCTAACCATCAACAGATATAGTAAATTCCCAATAAAAAAAAAAAATAAATCGTCTAAATCGGACCAGTATTAGCAGATATATGCATGGCAACGTTTTGGCTTCCAAAGCCATTTCCAAGCCAAAAATTTATGTTGTATCCAATATTTCAATGAATAAACATAAACATAATAGTATGAAAATGGCTTTGGAAGCCGAAATGTTGTCATGTTACCTAAAATAATATATATAGCCTAGATTATTTTATTAATTAATCAGAACTCCACCTTAAATCAAAATGTAACAAAATTTTAATCGAACTAATATTAGTGAAGATATAATGAACAATTTTTGTATTAGGAAAAAATATTTACTCCTGTAACAGTACGGAAATTCGTTAGAGTGGAAAAATCAGATCTTCTTTAATATGTTCAACATCATGGTGTTCAACAGAATAACAGACCCTTGAGCAATGGGCAGCAGCTAATTACGGCCATACTGTTGACTAGAACAGCAAACTGTGGGAGTTGCTGAGAAAGGTTGAAAACTGTTGAACAAGATCATTGATCCAATTAAACAGCAGTGATGAGGCTTCATCTGCCCTAACTGTTTGCTTGCTAATGTCTCACCGCATCCCAGGCCATTGTCAGTCGAACTGTTCACGATGATTGGAAAGGTTCTCCTCATAGAACCATCTCGCGAATGAGTAGAAAATTAAGGCAAATAATGAATATTATACAGCACCTATAAAATTCAAATATCTTATACGGTTATGCGATACTCGCCTTTTTGGATCAATTTACATATCTTACAAGAAATTAAAACAAAAATTATAGAAAGCTTCACAGCTAATGGCAAAGGCTACAAACATCGCTGGATTAATTGAACGAAAGAGTGTGTTTGCCAACAAAAGATACAAAATAAAATATACCTTACAACATATGGGCAATGGAAAATTCTCGCGAACAACTTGATTTGAATTATTTTTAGTCCGTGGTACAGACCCCTTTTTATCAAATTATTAACATCCGCCTGAAACTTCGTAAATAGATTCATCTCATCGTAACCAACAAATATTTTATTTACTAAAATTCTCGGAATTGGGGCGTTTTCAGTCTGGAGATAGTCAAACTTTGTTTATTTAATTAGATACTAAGAACTCGTAAATACCCATCTGCTTTCCACTTGAACCGTAAGATAATTTGAGCACAAATTGAGAAAACATGTGGCCTTCAAGAATACCGATTCCTTCACAATGTCAAAATTAGGAGATTTTATAGGCCAAACGGCCCAATATTTTTGTAGGTCACCCTTTTTCTCGATTTGTGACCAAATTATCTTCCGATTCAAGTGGAACGCAAATGGGTATATACCAGTTTTAAGTACCTAATTAAATAGACAAAGTTTGCAGAGCACCAGATTGAAAACTTCCCAATTCCGAGAATGTTTGTAAATAAAATATTTCTAGGTTTGTAGATGAAGCTATTTACGAAGTTTCAGGTGGATGTTAATAATTTGATAAAAAGGGGTCTGTACCACGTACTATTTAATTAGAAGTTGAATATGATAAGATCTCTTTCTACACATGGTGAATTTTAAATAGTATTTTTGAGGAGATCATGTTTAGAAATCATAAGTAGGATCCCTTTTTTCTTAAATATTCACCGTTTCTCGAGACCGAAAATATAAAAAGTATTAATATTCTTCGCAAGATTTCTATTTTTATAAATCTCATCAACTTATTAACGAATAGCGGAAACCTATTAATGCGCGGCGCAGTCTACACAGCTTGCAATATGCACCCCGTCATCACCCCCGACTGCCCTTTTTTCTGGGAAATGGAAAATGAATTGAGGGGTAAATATACCCGGTGTTGTTGTGCAAGCGGCCGCCTACGTCAGAGGGTCCCCTCTCCCGCCACTCTAGAAATAGACACCTCAGTCTTCGACCTTAAGCCCGACTGTTCGAATCTTCTCGACGACGTCTATGATAGAGGTGAGTAGAGCAGTTCTCGAAGGCTAGTTAGTGCAGGAGTTCAAGGAGCAGTCCCAATAAGGAGTCCGTTCTAGCCGCAGTCGTCGAAACGCTGAAACAGTAAGTGACCGAAAATAATCTTGTCTAAACTTGTAAGGCTCAACTAGGTCGAATCTTGTAACCCTATCTATCTCTACACTCTTATCCCCTTTAAAATCGATTTTTATTTTATTTATTAAAAAATGTATATCATCACTGCCAAAACACGCCTGAATTGCACCACTTATCAATACATTTCTATATCAAATTAATATCTTTATATTCAAAAAAATTCTTTTGTACAAGTACCTGCTTTGACTAACACATTTTACAAATATCCTGCTTCATAAAATAATCAAATGTCACTTCGGAGTTTGTTCCTTCAAAAGGTTATAACAGACATGTTTAACCTTTCTTTCCTTTCAGCGGGAATAACTACAGCCTTACAAATTCATGTATAATTTTTAAAGATTTAATTTATTACTATTATTATTTTTTTAAACTAAATTAAGTTAGTTTTATTTTAATTGCTTTAAGCCCTAGAGAAAGTTGTTAGGTATTTAAAGTATATTTAACATTGAAAGAACAATGTTAGGTATTTACAGTTATTAAAATAAGGCGTCTAATCATGGATTTTTATTTTCTAGCAAATAAGTTCATCAATAAATAATTTTTTTACTAAAGTTTCATATTACAGTTATTATTTAGAAACACTGACCATCCAACAGTTAAATTTATATTCAATATGAAAAAAGAAAAAAGTATGTGGGAACTAAACATTAAGATAAACAAACCGTTTTCCTCATCAAAATAATAATCCCATAAATGGTTTGATTTTTTTATTTTATTAAAATTCAACGTTGTTAACTGATAACTATTTGAACTATAATTTTAATCGTTGTTATATTAAAAATATAAACCAATAAATTGATAAAAATTCTAAGACAGAACACTTGGAACTGAACGAGGAAGAAACATGTGACATAACATTCCTTATAGGTGCATGTTTCATAATTCTTAAGGCCGACTGCTTTCTGTGTCGGTAGGTACTTGTAAATGCGAGCGTGCCAGACAAAGGTTCTGCATTACATTTTCTCATTTCAAGAAAGATTATTATTTTATCCACATATATAATATCTATATGCATTATATACTATATTATATTACATATATAATGTATATATATATATATATATATATATATATATATATACATATATAATAATATATGTATAATTATATATATATAATAATTTAATTAGTATAACTATATACGTGACAAAATATGTTTCTGAAGTTGGTATTTTAGGATAAAATAGCATGCGTCATATCAAATCCTTTTAAAAGTCAAAAATAAAAATAAATGAAACGTAATAGAAACATACCAATACATAAAAAAAAATTGTATACTCATTGTGACAGACCCATAAACGGAGTTTGTTTACATGTTAAACTTTTTGCTAAAGGCATTTTCCATATGTGAACAGGTTATAAATTATTATTTGTTTACAACAAAGCGGATCAAAGGGGGTTTGAGTAACAACTGACAGTATTGAAAAGAGAATTGAAAAGCAAAGTCTCAGTACTTTTGGTAGGTTTTTAATTTGACTAATCCCTTTTAAATATCAAAATTCAAGTATCAAAGGACAAATAAGCAATGAAGAAAATCAAAGCGAAGCAATTATATAATGGATTCTTGAATAAATGTAAAGAAAAGGGTAATGTGATATCCATTAGGGAATTGGAAGGTGTCCACAAAAGCTTTACAATTGATGAAAAAGCTATTGAGAGGGAACGAAATAATTGAATTCTGATTCCATATATAGAATTTCCGCAAATATATTGTGAAGAACTTATAATAATAAATACTTTTCAAATCAATCAAAAAACAATAAGTCATTCTTTCATCATTCAAAAAAACAAACAAAGAAAACTTGAATACCATAATTAGTTCACCGTAAGATTGCTTAATAGCCGGTATAGTTACAATAAGCTTTTATATTTGTCAAATGTCACTGAGCATGCACATAGATGTAACAAAAATATGATTACACGCTAAAACAACTTTAATCATAACCATTAAAGTGGATTAACAATCAAATGTTACAAGTAAAATTTTTATTAGCAAATTATCGATAACATTTTTGTTATGAACATTTCCATGCTTAATAACAACTGCAGTAAATAGAAAATTTAAGTACGTTTTCCAAGAATTGGTGTAAGTTAATGAAATCAAAACGTTATTAGCAAATGTTATTTACATTTTTCAAAACAAATTTTTGATAAGTGTTAATTACAATTTAATAACTCGTGTTAGTAGTAAAGTAATCTCCGGTACGAACACACATCCAGGTTAATAACTTTGTAAATCCTAGAAAAATAGCAACGTTTTTAATGTATGTAGAATTTTAATCTACAGTTTTTATCTGTAGATTAATACGTCAAATTAGAACCCAGAATATGTTGATACTGTGCATTTGAAAGCTAATACGAATTAAATGTTATTATAAATATTACATTTAGTTCCATAATATTTTAGGTCGAAGGTCTAAATCTAAATTTTCGGGCGTAATAATCTAGCAATTTATCGTCCTGAAACCCCTACCCTACACCTAAATCTAAAGTTTTACTCTAATGATGGCTAATAATGAACTAAAAAAAAAATCTTGTTGAACCATTGTGGCATGAAAATAAAATTACTGTTTTAATAAATTTGTCCTAACCAAGTAACATCAACCATCGCATTCAGGAAACAAATATCAATTATAATAGTTTACCAAAAAAAATTGTTTAATGACCATCCAACAGGCCAAAATAGTTTGCTTCTTTTTTATTTTATTTTTTTTACCAACGAGGCTTAATACGCCATGAAAAGTGGTATGAGTCTAGAAGATACGCTTTTAAATTAATTATGTTCATACAATTTTCAGAATATTATCAGTAGATATATATAAAACTTAATTTGTCACAATAATAATGGAAGTGTCTCCTGATTTCCGTTAACGCAAAAAAACATCGATTTAAACATCACTCTTTTATTAAAAAGGAAAAGTAAACGAATGAAAGCGCAAGTGTTGAATACATTTTGAATAATGTTTACAACAAATCTTATTCGGAAATGCAGCAGTTCTTCCATGCACAAAGTGTGAACTGGAACTGATCGAATCAATAACAAATCGTGAAGCAGAAAACTAAGGAAGTGATGTGAAATTTCCCTGTGGAGCAGTAAATGGCCAGGAAATAAATTATCGTCTTATTTCCCATTTGTCTACCATTTTGACTCGTTGGTTATCATAGTCACAAGAAAGAATGCCTAGAATAGTCACACAGATTTGCATTGCATGAAATGAGGTAACTTCTAAGATATATTTTAAACTTTGGTCCTATCTCTGAATATGAAGTAATACTATACAAATCCTATATTACACTGATAAACCTCTCTGCATAAAACAAAGATGCATTTCACTCATTGACTTAGTTATCATATCAGGTGTGCTCATCTATCCCAAGATCGAAGACGCATGAACCTCCTTCCTCCCTCTTCCAAGATATTTTATTGCTTCCCACTTCTTAAAATAATGCCACCGAAAGTATAATTTAAAAAATCGTAGATCATATACAATTTTACTTGCTGCGGTTCTTCCATATTTTCTCTTTGTCCCCTGATTGCCAAAATGCGCCCGCCCCATCCCCCAAAAAAAAATCTTGATGACGCAATAAAACCACCTTCTGGGCACCCCTGTATCACATTATCTCCAAACGAACAATGTCTATGAAACTGATATTATAACTGGTAGTTCACCTTAAGTTATACATATCCAATACGGAAGGATTTTGAAAAAAAAATCGTATCTAAGTGGTTAATAAAAATATTTCAAAAACCTGAAAATAGAAAATGTTGAAGTCACTATACCTATTTGGAAGCTAATGAGATTCCTTATAATATTATATAAAAATTATACGAATCTCACTCATATTGACCTGGATAAAACTGCTTTTAATTTGAATAGGATTTTTATTTACATGTTTCTCTAAAACAGGTTCACACGAGTTTTTATCATAAACTTATGACTGGGGAAAATTTAATTGTAATAGCAACAAAGAAATATTTGCTGGCAAAACCGCTGACAATGTCTAGTTAACTTAAAATTTTGTAGATCCTGTATACATCATAGCAACGATCCAATGTCAACGATAACAAATAAATATAAAAAACGTAAACATGTATTTCAACATTGAACGATAATTAACTGGGAATTTTAATTTTGCCGGTCGCAATTTCGATGAGGTTTTCTTTACAGAAAGCTATTATGATTAGGAAACAAAAAAAAATTGAAAAAAAAAAGTTGTATGGACTTCAATATAAAATTATAATTTAATGAAATTTTGCTAATATTTATTATAGTCCGTAATACAGACACCTTTTTATCGAACATCGGTCTGAAACTTCGTAAATAGCTTCAACCATCATAACCTACAACTATTTTATTTTCGAAAACTCTTGGAACTGGGGCGTTTTCAATTTGGAGGGGAGCACACTTTGTCTATTTAATCAGGTACTAAAAACTCGTAGTCATATGCTTTCTACTTTGATCGTAAGATAATTTGATCACAAAATCGAGAGAAAAGGTAACCTTCAAAAATATTAAGCCGTTTGGGGTGACCTACACCCCCAAAGTTTCAAAATAACGAGGTTGTATAGGACAAACGGCCCAATATTTTTGTAGGCCACCTTTTTTTTTTATCGATTTTGTGATCAAATTATCTTACGATCAAAGTAGAAAACAAATGGATGTTTACGAGTTTTTAGTACCTAATTAAATAGACAAAGTTTGCACCTCTTCCATATTGAAAACACCCCAAATCCAAGAGTTTTCGTAAATAAAATAGTTGTAGGTTACGGTGAGATGAAACTATTTACGAAGTTTTATTCGGATGTTTATAATACGATAAAAAGGGGTCTGTACCACGAACTATTAATGTGCTAATTAGGAACTGAAAAGGCCAAAAGCTAGGTTAATAGTTAATCATAACGTTCCTCTGTAAAGAACATAATGATTCTATATCAATTTACCTTGTAT